ACATATATAATGTTTGACATCGGGTAATTTCGCTCAGGCGGATGTAGTTTGCGTGATTCGTAGGCGATGGGTTGGAGGCCGTCGCCGAAGTCCTGTAACAGTACAGCTCCGATGGCGATGTCACTTGCGTCGGTAACCACTTCGAAAGGGCGGTGGGGATCAGCGATGCGTAGAACGGGTGGTGAACAGAGAACGTTTTTCAGGGCAGAGAAGGCAGCATGCTCTTTCTCCCCCCACGTAAAAGCGACCCCCTTACGCAGTAAATCAGTGAGTGGGGCTGTTAAACGTGCCATGTTGGGCACGAACCGTCGAACGTAATTAACAAAACCTAAAAAACTCTGCAGTTCCGTGATGTTCGTCGGGGGGCGCCACGCTTTTACCGTATCCAGCTTCTTTGGGTCAATCTCAACCCCAGCCTCCGAAATGACGTGACCCAAAAACTCTAGCCTGTCCCGAAAAAACTCGCACTTGGAGCCCTTGGTGAGTAGCCGATGTTCCTCCAAAACCTTAAAAACTGCTTCAAGATCTACTAAGTGTTGCTGCTTATCCCGGCTGTAAACTAGAATATCGTCCAGGTAAACTATCACGCATTTATCTAAAAGTGGTCTAAACGCCTCGTTCATGATCATCTGAAATGTCGCAGGCGCGTTCGTCAGCCCGAATGGCATTACTGTATACTCGAATGACCCGTACCTAGTCCTAAATGCTGTTTTGGCGCAGTCCGATGGTTCGACCCGAATCTGATGGTAACCTCCCCGTAAATCTATTTTCGAAAAGACTCGTGCTGTTCGCAGTTGGTCGATCAGTTCGTCGGCGCGGAGGATGGGGTATCGCGATTTGACTGTTACCCTGTTAAGCGCTCGGTAGTCGATGCACATGCGGAACCCTCCGTCTTTTTTCGGTGTGAACAGTATCGGTGCGGCGAACGGTGACGAGCTCGGACGGATAAACTGCTTCTCTAACAGGTAATCTAACTGCTTCCTTAACTCGTCGAGCTCGGGCTGTGTCAGTCGAAATTGCCGCTGTACAGTTGGCTGTGCCCCCGGTTCTAACTCGATCCTATGGTCGTGCGCCCGCTGAGGTGGCAGTCCCTGTGGTAAATCATCCGGAAATATCCCCGGGAACTGTTTCAGTAGTGCCTGTAGTTCGGTCGGTACAGTTGCCAGCAGTTTCTCCAAATCACTCGGCTGCTCATCTTTTTCTACGAGTGCGATATCCACTGCGTACACGTCAGCTCCAGCAGCGACAGCCCGTTTCATCGTGATGGCGTTGACCTGGACCGTCGAAGATTTGGGTGGCTGCCAGCGAGGTAGAACGACCCAGCTACCACTACTTCGCACTGTGCAGCTCCCCGTCGTCCAGTCGATCCGTGGGTTGTACCGTCGCAGCCAATCACGTCCCAATAAAATGTCGTGCCCATCCAGTGTCGTCGCGAGCATTTCCTGTGTAAACCCGAAGCTCCCCCCGCAGCGGACTTTTACGCGCTCCACCTTTTCCCGTATGGCCAGGGGCGTGCCGTCGACTAAGCGTGCATCTATCTCAGGTAAACATCGGTTAAGCGTTAACTGTAATTTTCGTGCGGTTGCGGTATTAACTAAGCTGTGGCTTGCTCCTCCGTCAATGAAGATCTTCACTGCTGCTCCCTGTATTTTCCCGTAGATCAGTACCGGGCAATCCGTCGCTGTACCCTCCTTATTCATCCGAGCCCGATCGATGGCGTGAATCGGTACTGTGACTCGGTGAGGGTCGGTGTGGTTGGGCGAGAAGGCAGTCTCGTCAGTAGTTGGCCCAACTTCTACTGACTGCTGGCGTTTCCCTGCCTCCGAGACTCCCTCCCCTGCTCTGCTCCTCGACGCCTCAGTTCCTCTGGACATTCGCTCTTGCGATGGCCCGGCCGGTTGCAAGCAAAGCAGCGCCCTCTAAACGGCGCGGCAGCTGCATTCGCTGCGACGGCATGTACAGTGGCGTGCTCGGTCGGTCCCCGAGGACGATGTCCGTAATAGGACCCCCGGTCTCGGTCGGCGTAGGATATCGATTTTCTCGGCGAGCGCGAGGATCTCGTTGAAATTCGAGAGCCCGCGTAGCATTATCTCGTGCGAGATGTCCGGCTTCAGCCCTCCGACGTAACGGTCCACCCGCTCCGCCTCGTGCATGTAGCCGACCTGTTCACAAAGTGCGAGAAACCCGCTGGTGTAGTCTTGAACTGACCCGAGCTGGCGCCAAGTGCGCAGTTTCTGACGCGCCGAAATCGAGGCCGCGATCGGCTCAAAGCGCGCCCGAAGCCCTGCGCACCACGCATCCCACGTGCTGTATTGGGCGGTTTCGCAGAACGAACTCCAGGTAACAGCTGGACCCGAGGGCCCTTCCTCGTGCGACGGTGGCTCGTAGGCGCGCGGCGACGTCACAATGACTCGCCACCAGTCCATGGCGGGGCCCCTGAGTAGTGAAACCGCATACCGGATCTTGGCGGCGTCCGACTCGACGTAGTTGGTGTCGAAAAACACATTCATCGTGAAGACCCACGATTGAACTGTCGGGCCGCCGCGTTGGCTTGGGTCGAAGAAGGGCGGGCGTTGCGGCTTGAGTAGCATTGGGGCCATCATGGCGTTCTCGCCACTTGTCGCCGCAAACTCCACGTGCCGACGGGCTTCTCGGGGCTCCCGTGGGCTTAATGCGCTCCTGTTCCCTCCCATGCCGGGCATCGGTTGGGCTGCGCCGTCACTGGCTGCGCCTGAGCGCTGTCCCGTGCTGTTGTGTTGCGTTGGTGTGCCGGATGAGAAGACGATGGGCTCCTCCGAATGTGCAGATGCATTGGTTGGTGCGTGTGATGTCGTCGGTACGTTCACCGTTGACTGTTGACGGGCGGAGTCACGTTCCGCCGTGAGAGTCGCGATTTCGAGCGCCGAATCCTCCAATTGACGCACGAGACGATCGAGTTGCTCCTGCGTCAACGTGGCGAGATTGAAATCGGCCATGGCGGGGGTGTCGGGCAAGCTCAGCGAGAGCCTCGGTCGTGGCCGTGCGTGCTTTCGAGAGAGCACTACGAGCGGCGGTGCTGTGTCGCTGAGAGACGTCTACCCCCCACAAAAATTGAGATAGTGGGAAGCGAAGGTGTGGATGCGGTCCGAGATGAGATCGTAGGCTCTGAATACCAAGTGTTACGAGTGCAATTGAGTGAACGAACGAGAATTGCACTATCGAAGCAAGAATACAAATGAGCGAAGGCATGAGCGAACATTATATAGCGAAACTACAGTGGTAACGGTAATGGTCGCGCGACGAGCCTGGGACTGAGGTTGGGAAAGTGTCGAAGCGTAGGTCCGGAGCGCGGGTTACCAGCCGAGCCGTGAGGTCGGGATGCGATGTGGGAAAAGGGCGGGATGATGAATGATGCGATGGTCGCGAGTGGTAACTGTGCTGACTGAGGTGCTACAGTGATGTACGCGTTGAGCAGGGACGCGAAGTAAGGAAATGGGAATTTCCTTACACATATACAGTCTTTCTTAAATGCATATCGTATTGGATTAGCTTGATATATAATAAACGCACCTACATCTGTTTAGTTTCCGAAACCCATTTTGGATGTTTTGTTGAAGTATGGAAGTACCAATTTTCTGTTTTAACCACAAACTTGAAAACGGCATCGTATCCAGGCCCAACCATACACGCTGTAAGCTCTGATAATGACCTCGAAGACTCCAGGCGACCACTACCTACTAATCCGCGACATCAGAAGCCTCGGGATTGTCATTGGCTCTCTTATCCTCCTCACCTCCACCTCCCGTCCGCTTCCCCTCCAGCTCGCCTCCAGCTCACCTTCAGAGAAGTCTCTACATCAGCCTTCAGAAAGCTTTATTTATTTTACTGTGTCACTTCCGTTAGAGTCACACCATGTCCCCTTTGCCAGCTTTGCGAAGGCTGATTCCAGCAATGCTAGCAATGGCGACGCCATGCCTTGTTTGGCGCAAGACTGGCGCGGAGCGGACGCATATTTTTCAGAGAAATAGCAGCTCTGACGTTCAACATCGGCTTGCGCTGTACTTTTTGTTCTCAGCCACCCCTAGCTGCAGCATTAGTAGTATATTCCTCCCTGACTTCCCCTTCCAACTATGGCATGAAGTTCAGACGCGTCGCCCACGTACCAATGAACGTGACTCCTAACATTCGCAATAAACTCCAAAGCTATTCTTGGTGTCGCATCAGTCCTTTATGCGTGAACAAGCACAATAATTTCTCGATTATATACCTGACGGCAGGCGCTCTGAATAACTAAATGCAAGATTCTGTCTTCGCGGAGTAGAAATTAAGAAATATTTTGGAAAAGGCGGGACCATCTGAGACCGACACAAAAGCTGCACAAACACGTCCACCGTGAAGAAACATATTTCGGCGTTGACCGTCTCGTTGACCGTTTGCTTGACCATCTAACCAGCGCGGTCCGACGCGGAATCGCGACATCGTCTTCACCAATAATGGGGAGCTCGACGAGTACCAATTCCAATCGCGTAATTTCCCGCGGCAATCTCGAGAAACGGCTTCGTCCGGCGGTGATTCTGTTTCTCGCGCTGCTTCTCCAGATGGCAGGCTGGTTTGGCCCGCCGCACTTGACGGCGGCAAACGCGCAACCGTTGGATAACTCACAGGGTACGCGCGCCACGCTGTAATAACGAGCGCAATGAGTATTGAGGATCCTAGAAACGATTTTCTGTACCGAACCAGATGCATTGAACCAAAACTATAATAACCTTCGTCCCTTGAAAAAAGCAGCACCTTGAAAAAGGCAGGACCGAATCCTGCAATACGCACCTAAAGAAAAGAATATGTTTCGTTTGCATCCCCCATTTCACAGAACGGGATCAAATATTCTTGTAGAGTGGGGTGGGGTGTAGTTGAATTGAGTCCCTGAGGAAGGGTTTCTGAGTTGATTGAAATCTACCTTAAAAAACATTCGTTTGATGTTTCTCTCTCCTCCTCCTCCTGCAGCACTTGCATTGGAGCAGATGCTGCTGGGGTGCTGTGCTGTTGAGTCCACTAGGGTAGGGTTTCGAAGTTTACCGAAGGTCACGTTGAAAACAATTCAGCCTATGTTTCCCTCTCCTCCTACTCCGTCCCACAGCGCTTGCATTGGAGCAGATCTTGCTGGAGTGGGGCGTTGAGTCCCCTGGGGGAGGAACCGCTGGATGGGACTGTAGAAACGCCACGTGGCTCTCATGCACAACGGATGGCTTCGTTACAAGCATGTGAGGCTGATGTACTTTTGACTCGTTATTAGCGTGAACCACGTGATGCACATCTCTGCACTTTACTGTACTACACTAGGCTACACTATTAGGATGTGCGAAGTACATATGAATGGATAGTCAGCAACCTGCAATGTCGTGAAAACAAATCCAATCATGTAAACAGGGCGATCATTCAACCTCCAGTGTATCCTCCGTCTCCCCAGGGGCCAGGGCCATCACTGACACGCCCATCAGCTGGTCTCTTCCAGACGCCTTCGGCGCCCTCTCTACCCTCTCCTCCTCACCCTCCTCTTCTATCCACCCCAGGGCCATCACTGACACGCCCATCAGCAGGTTCCGTTGAAATGCCATCAACCCGCTCTGCTCCCTCAAACCCGATTTCCTCCCCCCCCCTCTTTCCCCGCCCCCCAACCAACCATCTGTCTCCCTCTTCTTCACACCCCAGGAGTATCATTGACACGCCCATCACCGGGTCTCTTCCAGACGCCTTCAGTGCCCTCTCCTCCCTCACAGCACTGTAAGGGTCTTCTCCCTCCCCCAATGAACACCACTTATTGGTGGTGGTAGACATTGCGTGGCTGCAAAACACACTGTAAGGGTCTTCTCCCTCCCCCAATCCTCACCCCAATTCGCAACACCGCCCTTTGTGACCTTGTCTTGGCCTTGTCAAGCACTTACTTCCCCCCCCTTGCCCTGCTGCCCTCCTATCCCTCCCTTCCATCCCCCCTCTCATCCCTCCCTCCCATCCCTCCCTCCCGCCCCTCCCTTCCCTCCTGTCACCCCACTTTTTCGTACTCCCCCCTTGCCCTGCTGCCCTCCCATCCCTCCCTCCCATACCTCCCTCCCATCCCTCCCTCCCACCCCTCCTTCCCCTCCCCAGCACCATCCGCAACACCACCCTGGTGGGTCCTCTCCCTTGTGCACTGCAGTCTCTCTCACTTCCCTCTGTGGCCCGCTCCCCTCCTTTTTTCCCCTCGCCCTTCCCATCTCTCTCTCCCCTCCTCTACCTCCCTTCCTCTTGCCCTACCCATCTCTCCCTCCCCTCCTCTACCTCCCTTCCTCTTTCCCTTACCATCTCTCCCTGCCCTCCCCAGCACCATCCGCAACACCACCCTGGCGGGTCCTCTCCCTTCTGCACTGCAGTCTCTCTCAGCGCTGCAATACCTGTCAGTCCACTTCTCCTCCTTATCTTTGGCGCGACTCAAAAGTCGTTCCATATTTCCCCCCCTTGCATTGTTCTCTCCTCTTTCTTCTGCACTCCACTATCTCTCGGCGCTGCAATACCTGTCAGTTCATTGCTGGCCCTCCAGTACCACCTCTTCCCCCCACCATCGGAGATCATTCCCTTTTCATTTCAACCTAAAAGTGACCCCTTTTCGGTCCGCTCCCTTCTGCACTCCAGTCGCTCTCAGCACTGCAATACCTGTCAGTCCACTTCTCCTTCTCATCTTTGGCGCGATGCAAAACAGTCAACCCCCCCCTCTTGCATGTGCTCTGCTCCCTCTACCGCACTGCACTTTCTCTCAGCACTGCAATATCTGTTAGTCCACTTCTCCTTCTTATCTTTGGCCTGAGCGACACAAATTCCACCCCTAGTCACCCGTTGCATGTGCTCTCTGTCTACCGCACTGCACCTCATCCCAACGCCTTATACCCAATCTCCACCCATCTCTCTTTCCCCCACCCCACCCCACCCCACCCCACCCCACCACTTGCATGTCCCCCTGTTCCCAGCTCCATACCCTATAACAAGTTCTCCGCTACCATCCTGACTACCTTGCTTTTGATACTAGCCACAATGAGCACCCATCTCTCCTCATCTCATCCCACCCCTCGTCACCCCTTTCCACCCCCGTTCCCAGCTCCATACCCTATAACAAGTTCTCCGGTACCATTCCTGAGTACCTTGGCTCGCTATCCGCCCTTTCTTTTCTGTGAGTGCGGAGGCTGACAGTGGAATGTGGGCGAGAGGAATGAGGAACAGATTTTTTGGTTGGCATAAACGCACATCGGCATGCACATGCACATGCACATGCACAAACACATGCGCATGTCGCTTCTACCATGCTCACATAACGCATGTGTCCGTGCCCTCGCAACAGCTCATCCATCCATCCATCCATCCATCCATCCATCCATCCATCCATCCATCCATCCATCCATCCATCCATCCATCCATCCATCCATCCATCCATCCATCCATCCATCCATCCATCCATCCATCCATCCATCCATCCATCCATCCATCCATCCATCCATCCATCCATCCATCCATCCATCCATCCATCCATCCATCCATCCATCCATCCATCCATCCATCCATCCATCCATCCATCCATCCATCCATCCATCCATCCATCCATCCATCCATCCATCCATCCATCCATCCATCCATCCATCCATCCATCCATCCATCCATCCATCCATCCATCCATCCATCCATCCACCCACCCATCCACGTACATGCCTCCCATCCCTGCAGGGACGTGTTTTCTAATGCCTTTGAAGGTCCCATCCCCGACACGCTCACTCTACTCACCAACCTCGTGCTGCTGTGAGTACAAGTGAAGTCCTGCCTTTAGTTCACACTAGGTCACCGACCTCCTCCATCCCTACGCCCGACACGCGCTCTCCATCCCTCCATCTCTACTCACCAACCTCGTGCTGCTTGTACTGTACGTCTAGACCTCCGCAGCCCACCTGTTTACTAATAACAGCTACTGTACGTCTAGGGGAAAGGAAACCGCCCCCTACGTATCACTCATCTCCCATTGTTCATCTCGTATCCGTCCACTTGCCATCTCTCATCAACGCCTTTGAAGGCCCCATCCCTGACTCGCTCACTCTACTCACCAAACTCGTCCTGCTGTGAGTGTCTGGAAAGCCTTTGCCTCTAGTTCACACAAGGTCATCTCACAGACCTCCTCCGTCCCTACACCCGACACCCTCACTCTACTCACCAACCAATCTTGTCCTGCTGTGAGTACAAGGGAAGCCTTTGCCTCTACTTCACACAAGGTCGTCTCACAGACCTGCTCCGTCCCTACACCCTTCACGCTCACTCACTCTACTACCCAACTTTGTTTTCCATCCCTCCATACCTCCATGACCCATCTCTCGCTCTCTTCGTGCTCAGCAAGATAGGCAACTGGCATCTCAACGGGTCTATTCCTGGTGATATAGGCAACCTGAAGGCGCTCACTTTCCTGTAAGCAGGGGGTTTGCAGGGATGGAGAGTGGTGCTGCAGAAGCGGGGAGGGGTGGGGAGGGATGAAGAGGGGTGGAGTGGGATGGATGGGCAAGATAGGCAACTGGCACCTCAACGGGTCTATTCCTGGTGATATAGGCAACCTGAAGGCGCTCACTTTCCTGTAAGCAGGGGGTTTGCAGGGATGGAGAGTGGTGCTGCAGAAGCGGGGAGGGGTGGGGAGGGATGAAGAGGGGTGGAGTGGGATGGATGGGCAAGATAGGCAACTGGCACCTCAACGGGTCTATTCCTGGTGATATAGGCAACCTGAAGGCGCTCACTTTCCTGTAAGCATGAGGTTTGCAGGGATAAAGGGGGGTTGGGAGGGGTGGAGGAAAGGGGGGAGGGGTGGAGAGGAGAGGAGAGGGCGGGAGAGGGGTGGGGAGGGGTGGAGAGGGGTGGGTGAGGGTGGGAAGGGGGAGCTTGGAAACTGGGATCTACTTCTACTCCCACCTGGTACTCCGTGCCCCGTTGCTCTCCTCCCCCTTGTTCTCCCCCCCCTTGTTCTCCCTTTTCCCCCTCTCTCCCCCTCTCACCCCTCCCCCCTCCAGTGAGCTGCAAGGGGTGGACTTATACGGACCCTTTCCAGAGTCCACTGCCCATCACCCAACCACCCGCCCAGCCCTCTCTCCTTTTTCCCCCCAGAGTCTACTTTTTACCTACCTGCTCACCTCACCCCCCCGTTCCCACCCCTCTCTCCTTTTTCCCCCCATTGATCCCAGGGAGCTGGAAGGGGCGGATATGGATGGGCCCTTCCCAGAGTCCGTCACTCAACCGCCCACGCACTCATTTGTACCTGCTCGTCCCCCCGTTCCTCTCCGCATTCCCCGCCCCCCATTGATCCCAGGGAGCTGCAAGGGGCGGATATGGATGGGCCCTTCCCAGAGTCCGTCACCCAACTCACCAACCTGGAACTCTTGTAAGCATGGGTTTGTGAAATCCAGGACCGTTTTGAGACGTCTCAAAACACTCCTGTTTTCACGTCAACTCACCAACCTGGAACTCTTGTAAGCATGGGTTTGTGAAATCCAGGACCGTTTTGAGACGTCTCAAAACACTCCTGTTTTCACGTCAACTCACCAACCTGGAACTCTTGTAAGCATGGGTTTGTGAAATCCAGGACCTCCGTTTCTGTTGGTGCTTCTGCCCTTTGCTTCAGGGTGAGATGTTTAGGGTTACTCCACTCTTGACTTCCCACTCTCTTTTTTAAGTCGACTCAAAATCCGTGTGTGATGAGCCTAGTTTTGAGTCGACTCAAAACTAGGTTCTGTTGGTGCTTCTGCCCTTTGCTTCAGGATGAGATGTTTAGGGTTACTCCACTCTTGACTTCCCACTCTCCTCTTCCCGTTTCCCTCCCCTTTCCTCCCGTGCTGTCCTATCTGCCGGTTGCTTCCTTTCCCTTGCAGCCATTTGGGTCTAACAGGCCTGCATGGCTCGCTGCCGGAAGGAATCGGCGACCTGACCAAGCTGAGCAACTTGTAAGCATTGTGAATCTGCGTGTGTAAGGGCAAAGCTGTCCCCCCTGTCCCCTCAGTGAATTGCACAGAACCTCTGTCCGTCGGGCCCCATACCATCCATTCCCCCTCAATTGAGCTGAAAGAAATCGATTCAACATTTCGTCTCTTTGCCATCCATGTTTCTTTGTCCTCCACTCTCCACTCTCATTGTCCCGGCCCCACCATTTGTGGCTCCCGTGGGATGCACAGGAACCGTCTGTCGGGCCCCATCCCATCCACTCTCGGCCAAATAAGCCAAGAGAGATTCACCAGTCATTTTGTGTATTCACCCACCCTGCTTCTTTGCTCTCCACTCTCCACTTTCTCCTTGCATCCCCCCCACAACCTTTCCTCCAGTGGGGTGCACAGGAACCGTCTGTCGGGCCGCATCCCATCCACTCTCGGCCAAATAAGCCAAGAGAGATTCACCAGTCATTTTGTGTATTCACCCACCCTGCTTCTTTGCTCTCCACTCTCCACTTTCTCCTTGCATCCCCCCCACAACCTTTCCTCCAGTGGGGTGCACAGGAACCGTCTGTCAGGCCGCATCCCATCCACTCTCGGTCGATTGACTGCCCTCGTACGACTGTGAGTATACCCTCCAGGCTTCCAACAGTGCTGATTTAATCTCCCGTTTCCCCCACACCACTCCCTGATCCCCATACCATCCACTCTCGGTCGATTGACTGCCCTCGTACGACTGTGAGTAGTGTGGGGAACATGCACCTCCCGTTCTCATTCCCATTTCTGTTATGCCCCTTCCACAGTTACCATCTGCCACACAATCACTGTACACCGTCCCTTTCTCCTTTTGAGTCGACTCAAAAGCAGACCATCTGCCACACAATCACTGTACACCGTCCCTTTCTCCCATCCCCATTTTCGTTGCCTCACTCACACCGTTCCCCATTCCACATACCATCCATTCGTCCATTGCCCCATTCTTCTGTGACCGACCGACCGCCCTCGTACTACCGTAAACAGTTATTCCTCCTTCCTCCATTCCCCACACCGGACAAGCCACATTCCATTCTGAATTCTCCATTCCCCACACGTAATCCTCCCCATACCCCATCATCCATACCCCATCCACCATACCCCTACCACCACCACCCACTCCCCACTATGCCCACCAATCCCCCCCAGTGAGCTCGATGACAACAGCTTCAACGGAACCATACCGGCAGCTCATTCCTACTCTCAATTGCCACTCCCCAATCCCCATTCCCCGCACTCCCCCACAATTCCCCATCCACCACGCCCACCAATCCCCCCCAGGGAGCTCGATGACAACAGCTTCAACGGAACCATACTAGCAGCTCATTCCAACTCTCAATTGCCACTTCCCAATCCCCATTCCCCACACTCCCCCACAATTCCCCATCCACCACGCCCACCAATCCCCCCCAGTGAGCTCGATGACAACAGCTTCAACGGAACCATACTAGCAGCTCATTCCAACTCTCAATTGCCACTTCCCAATCCCCATTCCCCACACTCCCCCACAATTCCCCATCCCCCACGCCCACCAATCCCCCCCAGGGAGCTCGATGACAACAGCTTCAATGGAACCATACTAGCAGCTCAATCCTACTCTCAATTGCCACTTCCCAATCCCCATTCCCCGCTCCCCCACAATCCCCCATCCACCACGCCCACCAATCCCCCCCAGTGAGCTCGATGACAACAGCTTCAACGGAACCATACTAGCAGCTCAATCCTACTCTCAATTGCCACTTCCCAATCCCCATTCCCCGCTCCCCCACAATCCCCCATCCACCACGCCCACCAATCCCCCCCAGTGAGCTCGATGACAACAGCTTCAACGGAACCATACTAGCAGCTCATTCCTACTCTCAATTGCCACTTCCCAAACCCCATTCCCCGCACTCCCCCACAATTCCCCATCCCCCACGCCCACCAATCCCCCCCAGTGAGCTTGATGACAACAGCTTCAACAGCACCATACCAGCAGCTCTTGGCAATCTCGCCCTCGTCACCAAATTGTACGTCCTCCGATTACTTACCCGAAAATAATAGAGTCGTCTCAAAATATATCAACGACTCCCGTAGCTCTCCTAATCAGGTCGCCGTTGTTCCTTTCTGTGAAGCCCCTGAAGCGCCTCAAGTGCTTTGCTTTGTAAATTGCGTGTCCATTTCCTTTCCGACCCGCCGGCCATCCCTTGCTAATCTCGCCTCAACCTCCAAGTTCCAACCCCCCCGTCCCCTCCCCCTTTCCCATCCCTGCACCCGATCCCCTCCACCCTCCATTCTACCCATTCCCTCGCACAGAAACCTAAGCGCCAACCATCTCACCAGAACTGTTCTGCCATCCCCTGCTAACCTCCTCCCCCATCTCCACCCCCCATCCCCTACCCCCATCCCATCCCCCATCCTTCTTCCCCATTCCCTCCACCCATCCTCACTCTCAGTAACCGAAGCGCCAACCATCTCACTGGCATTGTGCCTTCATCCTTAGCTCACCTCCTCCCCCATCTCCACCCACCATCCGCTCCCCCCACCCATCCCATTCCCCATCCTCTCCCTCCATTCCCTCCACCCATCCTCACTCTCAGTAACCTAAGCGCCAACCATCTCACTGGCTCTGTGCCATCATCTCTTGCGAACCTCACTCGAGCTACCGTTCTGTGAGTGAGAATATTGCGAGGTGAAGTTGAAGTCGACACGACTCTTTTCGCGTAGACTCATTTCGCAGTGACCTTAGAATCAACTCATTAGATCCAACTCTTTCAACAACTCCTGTTTCCAGTCCTCCAACCATTCTCCCCTCATCCTTAACTCGCTTCAAAACTCTCACAAGCATTTTTTGCTTCCATAGCCATCCCTCCTCTCACCGCCATCCCCGCCCCCATTACACTTATCCCCCTTTTCCCAGGGACTTTTCAAAGAATCCGCTCAACGGCTCCCTCCCTCCTGCCTTTGGCGCATTGAGCAGCCTTGCAAACATGTGAGCTCCCTTCTATGCGCGTATGTGACTTTCCTTATCAGAGCGTTTGTGAGTTCCATTATGTGCTCGTATGTGAGTTCCCTTATAAGGGACTAAGTGAGCTCCTGTATAAGAACCGCACGCATAAGAAGATTATACACCCTTGTGAGAGCATATTCCTAACTTCTAGAAAGAAAAATGTATATGTGTTTCTTTTTTAAATGTTTGCGTAACATAGGGCCACTGTTCTCATCACCTCTCCAACCCTCTCCTCTCCGCCACTCTCCTCTCTACCCCTCTCCTCAGGTCTCTCTATGGCACATGGCTCGAGTGTCCCACCAACCAACCATGCGGGGTGGAGCAGACACCCCACTCGGCCTTCTGTCAGCTCTGCTCGGGCTTCTGCAAAGAGTGCAGCTCCTATGTGGGTAAGTCCCTTGTGTGCTGAAAGAACAGCACAGCACAGCACAGCACAGCACAGCACAGCACCGCACAGCACAGCACAGCACATCACAGCACATCACAGCACAGCACATCACAGCACAGCACAGCACATCACAGCACAGCACATCACAGCACATCACAGCACAGCACATCACAGCACAGCACATCACAGCACAGCACAGCAGAGCAGAGCAGAGCAGAGCACAGCACAACACAGCACAGCACAGCACAGCACAGCACAGCACAGCACATCACAGCACAGCACATCACAGCACAGCACAGCACATCACAGCACAGCACAGCAGAGCAGAGCAGAGCAGAGCACAGCACAACACAACACAGCACAGCACAGCACAGCACAGCACAGCACAGCACATAAACTGGTTGTCCAGTTGGTTACTCGTGACAGACAGTCCAGGCTCTCACTCACTCGGCCTTCTGCCAGCTCTGCCCTGGCTGCTGCAGGCTCTGCTCCTCCTACACAGGCGAGCAGATAGTATTGCAGGGGAAAATGTGTTGGACTCTTTACCTTTGTTTTCATTGTTTCTGGTCCACCTGTCTTGTTTGTCTGTCCCACTGTTCCCCAGCTGATGTCTGCAGCACTTTTGAGAATTCTCAAAAGCGTTTCTGTTCCACCTGTCTTGTCTGTCTGTCCCACTATTCCCCAGCGGATGTCTGCAGCACCTTCCCTGTCAACCCCTGCGGCCTGGGCACTTGTGTTTCAAATGCCAACAACAGCAGCAGTGGCAGCAGCAGCAGCAGCGGCACCATCAATAGCAGCAGCAGCCTAAGTGTCAGGAGCAGTAGCAATGGTATCATTGCTAGCAGCAGCAGCAGCACTGGCATCAACTCCAGACGCAACAGTATCAAGGCCAGCAGCAGCAGTGGTAACCCTACGGGTTACACCTGCACCTGCCCAGCAACCACCTACCCAGGCACTCTCCCTGATGGCAGTGCCACCTGTGTCCCCAAGACCATCTCCCCTTCCCCACCCTCCTCCCCCTCCCCTCCTCCTACCTCTCCTTCCCCTCCCTCCTCTCCATCCCCCTCCCCTCCAACCTCCCCCTCTCCTTCCCCACCCACGAAAGCCCCCCCTTCTGCCTCTCCACCCTCTCCTCCCTCCTCCTCCCCCTCCTCCTCCTCTGACTCCTCTTCTCTCTCGCTCGGAGTGATTGTGGGTGTAGCGATCGGAGCAGGGGCGCTTGTCATTGCTTGTCTCGCCCTGATTTGCATCCTCGTCAAAGGCAGACCCACTACAGGGCCCAGCTCAGCCGGTGAGTTTACCAGACCTCTTCCACCTCTCCTCCTCTCTTCCTCGTTACAGGCAGATCCGATACAGGGCACAACCAAGCCTAGGACCCCCCTTCCCATATATGATGTGTTACAGGCGACGGACAGCTGGGCGAGCTACAACCTCTTCTGAGTCAAGCCTATGCTCCCCCTCTCCCCTATGTCTACCCCAGTCCCAGGCCTTATCCGGCGCTACAGCTTGAGTGAGGTGCTACAGGCGACAGACAGCTGGGTAAGCTACAACCTCTTTTGAGTCAAGCCTATGCTCCCCCTCTCCCCCATGTACACCCCAGTCCCGAAACTATTTCGGCGCTGCAGCCTGGCAGAGGTGCTACAGGCGACGGACAGCTGAGCGAGCCATTGTTGAATCTGCTGTTGCTGCTGCCTACTCCCCCCATCTGCCCCAGTCCCAGGCCTGTTCCGGTGCTACAGCCTGAGTGAGGTGCTACAGGCGACGGACAGCTGGGCGAGCTACAACCACCTCGTTCAAGTGAACCCATCCCTTCACCTTCCCCTGTCACATCCCTCTTTCTCAGTCCCAGGCCTGTTCCGGCGCTACAGCCTGCCAGAGGTGCTTCAGGCGACCAACAACTGGGCGAGCTACAACCACCTGGGCAGCGGAGGCTACGGGGACGTGTACAAGGGTGTGCCGCCCAGTGCGAGAGTGGGCGGCGGAGGGGGCGGAGTGGGCGGAATGGGGGGAGTGGGGGGAGATAGTGGTGAAGCAGGCATGACAGGGGCGAGTGTGAACGTGAGAGGGAGTGGGAGGGGAAGTGGGAGGGGAAGTGTGTGGGGGAGTAAGAGAGGAGGGGGTGGAGAGGGGGAGGTGGGGATTACAGTGGACGCGGGAGAGCCTCAGGTGTGGGCGGTGAAGCGAGCCAAGATACGCACCAACGACTTTCACAAGGAGGTGAGCTCGCTAAACTCTAAGTCCTAGACCTTAAAGCCTAGACCTGCCTAGACGTTAGACACTAACCCTAGGAGGCCGGGGAGCCACAGGTGTGGGCGGTGAAGCGAGCCAAGATACGCACCAACGACTTTCACAAGGAGGTGAGTCAGCAATCGGAGCGGCGTAGGGAGAGGAACGGACGAGGGGCAGGGTGGGGATTGCAGTGGGTGGGGAGGAAAGGGATGGTCAGACCACGTGTGTTGACTTTTGAGGCGCCTAAAGAAAAAGTGGGTGGGTGGGGAGGAAAGGGATGGTCAGGCCTCGTGTGTTTCTTGGTCTCTTGCATCCTTACCGCTCCCCCTTTGTTCTCCCCCCCTCTCATCCATTTAATAGGTAGAGCTGATGTCGAGCAAGCATTACCCCCATCTCGTCCATCTGCTAGGGTACTGCGTCACAACGGACGCCAAGACGCACTCCTTACCCCCTCCTGACCCCAAATCAACCCTTTTCCCCACCCCCATCCCTCCACCTGCACAGGTAGAGCTGATGGCGAGCAAGCATCACCCGCACCTGGTGTGGCTTCTAGGGTACTGCGTCACAACGGACGCCAAGACACACGAGCAGGAGCAGGCCACGTGTGCCGTTTAGAGTCTCGAATCCGGTCCCATGTGCCCCCATGTGCCCCTCACGGTGTATCTGTGTCCCCTTTCACAGGTAGAGCTGATGGCAAGCAAGCATCACCCCCATCTCGTCCGCTTGCTGGGGTACTGCGTTACAACAGACGCCAAGACTCACTCCTTACCTCTTGCCCCCAACTACCCTCCAACTACCCCCCTTTTCCCTTTTCCCTTTTCCCTTTTCTCTTTACAGGTAGAGCTGATGGCGAGCAAGCATCATCCCCATCTCGTCCGTCTGCTGGGGTACTGCGTTACAACAGACGCCAAGACTCACTCCTTACCTCTTGCCCCCAACTACCCTCCAACTACCCCCCTTTTCCCTTTTCCCTTTTCCCTTTTCTCTTTACAGGTAGAGCTGATGGCGAGCAAGCATCATCCCCATCTCGTCCGTCTGCTGGGGTACTGCGTTACAACGGACGCCAAGACGCACGAGCAGGAGCAGATCATCATCTATGAGTTCATGGAGAATGGCGATTTGGAGCGTGTGTTGAAGAGTGAGCGACGCTCTGCATGTGGTTATATGTGTGTTTTTGAGTCGACTCAAAAGTCACCTTGTATGTGTGTTTGGACGCGTCTTAGCAGTGGTCGGTACGTAAGATAGGAGCACACGAGCAGGAGCAGATCATCAGCTATGAGTTCATGGAGAATGGGCACTTGGAACGAGTGTTGAAAAGTGAGTATACGTGTGTATGCATGTCTGTGTGTGCACGCTGTCTCAGAAGTGGTCTGTGAGTACATAGGAGCACACGAGCAGGAGGAGATCATCAACTGTGAGTTCACAGAGAATGGGGACCTGGGGCGCGTGCTGAGAGGGGTCTGATTCCTTCATAGCTCAGCATTGATGTCTCTGACTCCCCTTCCTCCCCTCTCCCGCCCCACCTCTCCCCAACTTACTGATCAGACCTCGCCGCACGGCCCGTGAGCCTGCAGCAGCGGCTGGAGATGATGATCGGAGCAGCGAGGGGCCTGGAGTACCTACACAACTTTATATTGGTGTCTCTGTATTTTGATGCGTACTTTGAGGCGCATTTTGAGGCGTGCTTTGAGGCGCATTTTGAGGCGCCTCAAAGTAGGAGCAGCGAGGGGCCTGGAGTACCTACACAGCCCCACAGGGTCATTCTTCCGGCCCTTGTTTACCCACCTCCCGTATCCCACCTTCAGACCTCGCCTCACGGCCTGTGAGCCTGCAGCAGAGGCTCGAGATGATGATTGGAGCAGCAAGGGGCCTGGAGTACCTACACAGCTTCTCCATGGTGCATCGGGACGTGAAACCAGCCAACATTCTGTTAGACGGCAACTGGCAGGTATGTGTGTGTGCGTTCAACAACCAACACCACACCCAGCATCGCACCTATCAGCACAAGCAGCACCACAACCAGCAGCCAGTGGCCTGGAGTACCTTCACAGCTTCTCCATGGTGCATCGGGACGTGAAACCAGCCAACATTCTGCTGGATGGCAACTGGCAGGTATGTGTGTGAGAGTCAATTGGTACATACATGTTGTTGTTTTATACCACCTAACACTGAGGGGCCTGGCGTACCTTCGTAGCTTCTCAATGGTTCATCGGGACGTGAAGCCAGCAAATATTCTCCTGGATGGCAACTGGCAGGTGCGTGTTGGTACATTGTGCCGATGCTGCTGTGCTAGGTGCGAGTTCACACCTAGCACTAAGAGGCCTGGAGTACCTTCACAGCTTCTCCATGGTGCATCGGGACGTGAAACCGGCCAACATTTCTGTTATATGGCAACTGGCAGGTATGCATGTGTTGTGTGAGGTACTCAGCAGCGAGGGGCCTGGAGTACCTTCACAGCTTCTCCATGGTGCATCGGGACGTGAAACCGGCCAACATTCTGTTAGATGGCAACTGGCAGGAACATGTGTGTGCATGTGCAACACTCCTCTCAAGTCCTCATCTAATCTAAACTCTGTGGGTGGGGACAATAATACACATCACAACCATCAGAAGAAGTAGCGACTGCTCACGCGTAATCGCCGACATGTCTTTTTTTTTCTTCGTCTTCTTTTCTCTCGCCTGTTTTTCTCCTCTCAACCGAACCCCATTCGCCTGAATCTTCTTCCACAGGCCAAGATAGCTGACTTTGGGCTGACCAAGGTGGGAGAGGGCAATGCATACAACCCTCAGGACCGCATACTCCACTCAACTTCTGTCTCGTGATTCTAGCTTATCTTGCATGTTCTCGTCTGTTTCTCCGCACCTTTCTCTTGTCCTTTCCTTTCCCTCCCACGGGCCAAGATAGCTGACTTCGGGCTGACCAAGATGGGAGAGGGCAATGCATACAATCCCCAGGACTCCACTCGAGTACTGTCTCGTGATGCTAGCTTAACTTGCATGATCTCTTCTGTTTCTCCCCTCCTGCCCTTCCCCTTCCACAGGCCAAGGTTGCTGACTTCGGGCTGACCAAGATGGGAGAGGGCAACGCGTACAACCCTCAGGACTCCACTCGAGTGCTCGGCACGCCAGGCTATGTTGACCCTGTGTATGGCCGCACACGCAAGGCCACCCCTGCTAATGACGTATTCAGGTGGGAACGATGTGTGATGTGATGTGTGATGTGATGTGTGATGTGCGATGTGATGTGTGATGTGATGTGTGATGAGATATGTGATGTGATGTGTGATGTGCGTATGCCTTGTTGTTTAAGGAGCATCAGAGCACGCAAAGAGTGCTCGGCACTCCCGGCTATGTGGACCCTGTGTATGGGCGCACCCGCAAGGCCACCCCTGCCAAGGACGTATTCAGGTGGGAACGAACGATTTGTGATGTGTGGGGTTACTTACCGAAAGTGTAACGTACTAATCACGCCGGGCTATGTTGACCCTGTGTATGGGCGCACACGCAAGGCCACCCCTGCAAACGACGTGTTCAGGTGGGTATCTGTTCACGGGAATCTTTTATGCGATGTATGAACCAACATCTGGCGCGTATCAGCACCAAGAGTCGAGTGCTCGGCACTCCCGGCTATGTGGACCCTGCGTATGGGCGCACCCGCAAGGCCCACCCCCCAAACGACATGTTCAGGTGGGTTATGTCCAGGGACCCAGAGAGGACCAACTCAGGTGAATTCGAGTTCTAAGACATCAATAAATTGATTTAAGTGTAATTTGCTGGGCCCACCAGGATTTGCGTCTTCCTCTGTATCGGCCCCTCCACCTCCCACCATCCTCTCTACCCTTGCTCTCGTTCTCCCACCGTGCTCCATGCTTCCTCTTGGCAGTTTCGGCATCGTGATGCTCGAGCTTCTGACGGGACGAAGGGCCATTGTGTCAGTGTCTAAAGATGACGACCCGATCAACATCAGCAAATGGGTAATGGGTTTACCAGTAATAAATGTGCTACTTCATGTGACATTGCATTCCATTTTTTATTGATCACCCCATCATGGTATCACCTGTTCAGACCCCCCAGCTTCCTTCCCTACCAACCTTAATTCTTTCAATATGGCGATGTTTTTTCACGCTTCCATACAGGCTGCCCCACTAGTGGAACGTGGCGAGGTAGCTGCATTCAAGGACCCTCATCTAGATGCTCCCGATGACGTCATTCTTCGACTCGCACGGCTCGCCATGACATGCACGGCCACTCCGGCCATGTCCCGGCCCCGGATGGTCAAGATAGTGGCGGATCTTGAAGGGATTAAGGAGGAGCTGTTCAAGTATGGCACGATGATGTTCGAAGAGGAGCCTGCAGTGCCGAATCAGTCGTTGACTCAAGCCATTTCGCAAGTTGAGGTTATTCTGAGTGAAAATGCCAATTTGAGTGATAAATCTAGCTCGTAAATTAGCTGTTGGGTGGATGAACATGGTGCTCATGTTTAAGCTAGTGTCTGTCTATACAACAATTCGAAATATATCACACCCCCATCTATCCACAAGTGCAAGTGCATTTTGAATTAATGTGGGATACAGTGGAATATACTTATTATTTGAGGTAGTATCACTTGTTATATGCTACACCTGAATAGGTTATATGCACTTCCTCCTAGCTTTACTGGAGGCTAGCCATAACAATTGGCTTATCCGATCACGTGGCGAATCCTTCGTGGAAATTAACAAAACCACGTGGTTTTCTGGAGACTTCGCACGCACTGTACTGTACAGTGCTGTGAACTGGCTTGTGGATAACTTTGAGGGCGGCGCCGGAAGGGTAAGCTTTCGGCCATACAGGCAGGCAGGCACTGCCTTGGTTACCTGCTGCCTCAGCCATTTCCTGCGCCGAGGCGCAGCTGAGGCAGCAGCTGAGCATTGCGCACTGATGTGCGGAAGAATGCCAAACTGTTCCGGTAATTACGATGGCTAGCCAATCACGAGCTTACCTTAGGGCTGCAAACAGCGTGGAGATGCGCGATGCTGAGCTGGAGTTTGATGTGAAGAGTGATCGCAAAATCACTCCGAAATTGCCTTCGTGGACCGCGCCACAAAGATGAATGCGGCCCGAAATTCCAGCGCGCACATCCACACTCAAATGTCTGTGCGAATCTCCGCGACACCGCAGACTCTTACCGACATCGCAGGAAAAGTAACCCCAAAGAAACTGTTGTAGATTCCCCAGACAACTTAGCAGAGGGCAATCCTGCGAGCTCTGGTTACCTTTTAACGAAATTAACGACGTACCAAGAAACCTCTTGACATCCAATCGAAGGCACATTTGGCATGCACTCCACATGAGCGACGGAAGAATTACTGTTGTTCCTCCGTCGCAATTCGCCCCGCTGTGTAGGAATTGTAAAAGTTGGCAATGTCTGGACTGGACATGTGAATGTCGAAGAGTGGCAATTTCGGGGTCTGGAAGTCTATAAATTACTTCAGCAGTTCCTCACAAGTACCTCACCTTCCTGCGTTTTCCGTTTGATATCTTCCTTCCCGCGAGTGCTTGTCGAAGCATTTGCTTCCGTCAGTGTACGGAAGTTCCTACTCGCTCTCTCTCCCCGTTTTCTCTCGCCTCCTGCGACAGCAACGCTCGAGCTTCGCTCCGTCGGGAGCCTGCCGCGAACTTGACGATAACCGTCAATCCGGTCCAGACAACCGTCAAGATGTGCGGAATTCTCGCGGTTCTTGGAGCTGCTGATGCTTCGGCTCGCACCCGAGCAAAGGTCCTCGAGTGCACCGCTAGGTAAGCCCACATTGACGCCACCTTTGTCATTCTATCAGTGACTCCGAATGTCGCATTAAGCCTGATGTTCGCTTCCCTCCCGTGCTTTCGACCATGTAATTGTCCATTATGTTTTCGGCTGTGATCTCACATATTCAAGGCCCCACCGAGTCTTAATTCCAGGAGACACGTGCGTTCCGCGCCAGAATTTGCCAGTGCGCTCAATCGCACATCGCAATGCCATCTAATATTTCAAGAATTCCTTAAATGGCCCCATGCCACGTTTACCCGGCAGGCTGCGCCACCGTGGACCCGATTGGAGCGGCGTGCACACGTTTGGCAATAACTTCCTCGCGCACGAACGGCTAGCCGTCATCGACCCGGCGTCCGGGCACCAGCCGTTACGCAACGAGGACGGCAGCATCGTGGTGGCCGTCAACGGCGAGATCTACAACTACCAGCAGCTGCGGGATGAGCTAAAGGACCGCCACACGTTCAACACCGGCAGCGACTGCGAAGTCATCGCGCATCTCGTGCGTTTTTAATATGGAATGAGTGATTGGCATTTTACCTGCTCATAATTTGTTACTTCAATCCTAATACACGTTTGCAATATTGTATTTTTTTTCGTGTTTCCTCGTTTATACATTTGCCCGTTAATCCGAGTTATTACACTTTTCCACTTGGACCCCCTCCTTCAATATATCTCTCCGTATAATTTCTTGCAATGATTTCGAAAAGCTGACATTCTGCAGAAATGAGGCTCCCTTCCCAGTAATATTGAAGACGTTGGACGGAAACGTTCTGCTGCTCTGCTCAAGCACTACTAGCTCCTAACAATTTGCGATGTCTATTATTTCTTCACCACCCTTTTCCAGTATGAAGACGCGGGAGAGCAAGCCGTGCAGAAGCTGGACGGAATCTTCGCGTTCGTGCTGCTCAACACAAAGGACGGCTCGTACATCGCGGCGCGCGACCCCATCGGCGTGTGTCCACTCTACATCGGCTGGGGTCGCGACGGCTCTATGTGGTTCGCGTCAGAAATGAAGGCTCTTAAAGACGACTGCGAGCGCTTCGAGACGTTCCCGCCCGGCCATATTTACTCCAGCAACGACCGTGAGTCTTCTGCCTCCAAGCTGTTTTTTTTGTTTGTTTGCTTCTTTCCTGAATTTCCTCCTGTTTATATAACCATTTTGTACTCTCTTCTTTTGCAGCTCCTAATTTCCTGTTATTCTGTTCTTGACCGCCAGACACCCTCCGTCGCTGGTACAATCCCGCGTGGTACGACGAGCACATCCCCTCCGCGCCGTACGACCCGCTCGCGCTGCGCGCCGCGTTCGAGAAGGCCGTCGTGAAGCGGCTGATGACGGACGTGCCGTTCGGCGTGCTTCTATCGGGGGGCCTCGACTCCTCGCTCGTCGCCGCCGTCGCGCAACGCCATTTGGCGTCTACGGAAGCAGGGAAGCAGTGGGGCCCTCAGCTTCACTCCTACTGCATCGGTCTAGAGGTAGGACACCTGATATTTTTTATGATTGGCCATTTTTTTATTTTTCTTTTTTTTTTCAACAATCGTTGCTACGTCAACTCTACACCTTGTATTCATTCTTTTTGTCCTACATCATTTTCCGTCCTTCCACTTCTTCCCATTTTCAGAATGCCCCTGACCTGCGGGCAGCGAAAGAAGTCGCGGATTACATCGGAACAAACCATCACGAACTACACTTCACTGTACAAGAGGGCATAGACGCGATTTCCGAAGTGATTTACCACACGGAAACCTACGACGTCACAACAATCCGCGCCAGCACGCCCATGTTTCTGCTGAGCCGCAAGATCAAGGCGCTGGGGGTGAAGATGGTGCTATCTGGGGAAGGTAGCGACGAGGTGTTTGGGGGTTACCTGTACTTTCACAAGGCGCCCAGCAAGGAGGAATTTCACGTGGAGACGTGTCATAAGGTGGGGGAGAATGTGTGGGGTCTGTGTGAGTGTGTGTGAGTTTGTTGTTAGGGTTGGGTGTGTGGGTGGGTGGGTGGGTGTGCCTATGCCGTAATCCATTCATTTCACTGCTTGTTTCTTGTCTGCCCCTGTCCTGACCACCAACTAAAGACTTCCCACCCCTGCACCGCTCTCAACCCAACCCCTTCGCTCCAACCAGCTCAAGGCACTTCACATGTACGATTGCCTGAGGGCCAACAAGGCCACGTCAGCATGGGGGCTGGAGGCGCGCGTTCCCTTCCTGGATAAGGAGTTCCTTGACGTGGCAATGAGCATTGATCCTCAGTATAAGATGATTCGCAAAGAGGACGGCCGCATTGAGAAGTGGGTCATCCGACGAGCCTTCGACGACGAGGAGAAGCCGTACCTTCCCAAGGTAAATTGAAGCCTCATTCTTTCTTATCACAAAACACGCGTTCTTATCACTCCGCTAGTCTCTCCCCTGACCAGCATTGAGAAGCGGGTCATTCGACGAGCCTTCGATGATGAGGAGAGGCCGTACCTTCCAAAGGTAAATCAAAGCCTAACCTGCCTCTCTATTGCATCGCATGACACTCCCCTAGTCCCCCTTTACCCACAATGAGAAGTGGGTCATCCGGCGGGCCTTCGACGACGAGGAGAAGCCGTACCTTCCCAAGGTAAATTAAAGCCTCATTCTTTCTTATCACAAAAAACGCATTCTTATCACTCCGCTAGTCTCTCCCCTGACCAGCATTGAGAAGCGGGTCATTCGACGAGCCTTCGATGATGAGGAGAGGCCGTACCTCCCCACGGTAATCAAATCCTACCTCTCATGTGCCGTATCTACCCGAGGTAACCCGAACCTACCTCTCATGTGCCGTACCTACCCGAGGTAACCCAAACCTACCTCTCATGTGCCGTACCTACCTACCCGACCCAAACCTCCTTTCCTGCTCCCATCCCCTTCTGTTCGTAGTGCTGCTACCCATCTCTTCTCCCATCTCTGCTCCTCCCTCTCTTCCCTTCCCCTCTTTCCCTCCTCCCTCCTGCCCCTGCCTCCCCCACACTTGTCCCCTTTACCAGCATATCCTGTACCGCCAGAAGGAGCAGTTCAGCGATGGCGTGGGGTACAGCTGGATCGATGGTCTCAAGGCGCATGCAGAGAGGATGGTATCGGATCAAATGATGGCCAACGCTCCCAACCTATTCACTCACAACACGCCCAAGACGAAAGAAGCGCTGTTCTACCGCCTCATCTTTGAGAAGCACTTCCCCCAGGTGAGGCTCTCCACTCCTCTCCACTCCTCTTCACACCTATTCACTCACAACACGCCCAAGACGAAAGAAGCGCTGTTCTACCGCCTCATCTTTGAGAAGCACTTCCCCCAGGTGAGGCTCTCCACTCCTCTCCACTCCTCTCCACTCCTCTTCACACCTATTCACTCACAACACGCCCAAGACGAAAGAAGCGCTGTTCTACCGCCTCATCTTTGAGAAGCACTTCCCCCAGGTGAGGCTCTCCACTCCTCTCCACTCCTCTCCACTCCTCTTCACTCACAATACGCCCAAGACGAAGGAGGCGCTCTTCTACCATCTTTGAAAGCACTTCCCCCAGGTATGTGCCAATGGCCCACACCTCTTCAAACCGCTTCCAACCTCTTCACGCACAACACGCCCAAGACCAAGGAGGCCCTGTTCTTTGAGGGATTTCACGTCTTAACACACACATCTTCATACCTGTTCATCTATTCATGGCAGCGGCTGTAGCATGGGATGTTTCCTCGCGGAATAGTTCTGATCACCTCACCCCGTCAACTGAGATGATTTTTGAGGCGCCTCGAAATTTTTTATGCGCCTCAAAAGTGGCTGTAGCATGGGATGTTTCCTCGCGGAATAGCTCTGATCACTTATTCACCCCGTCCGCTTCCAACCCACCCTCTCTCTGCCACAGCTGTCTGCCCGTCTCACTGTTCCTGGTGGTCCCAGTGTCGCCTGTAGAACGGCGGCGGCTGTAGCATGGGACGCTGTCTTGACTTCCTGCCACTTCCCCACTTCCCCCCTTTCTCTACTACAGCTCTCTGCTCGTCTCACTGTGCCCGGAGGCCCCAGTGTCGCCTGTAGCACAGCGGCGGCTGTAGCGTGGGATGCTGCCTGGCAAGGCAACCTGGACCCTTCTGGCCGAAAAAAATGTCCACTCAATCCCTTTCCCCTTTTTCCACCCCACAAAATCCCTGCTGCAGCTGTCTGCTCGTCTCACTGTGCCTGGGGGCCCCAGTGTTGCCTGTAGCACAGCGGCGGCTGTAGCATGGGATGCTGCCTGGCTGGGAAACCTGGACCCCTCTGGCCGTGCTGCTCTGGGCGTGCATGCTGCTGCTTATAACGAGGATGCAGGTGGTAACCAGAAGGCTGGTAACCGTGTGACAACGTGTGTGGAGCAGGCTGGAGTGGTGGTGGGGGGTGGGAGCGGTGGGAAGAGGAGTCAGGGGGAGGAGGGGGGGCAACCAGAGTCGCCTCCTAAGAAGAAAAAGACGGACCTTGTGATGCCGTATCTGGCTGTAGCATAAGCTGTAGCCGGTCGGAAGCATGCCTAGGCTGCTGCTAAAGCCATACCATGCATAAGCTGTAGCAGGAGGCACCACCTGCACGGGTGGTGGTGCTGTGTCTGCTATGGTCCAATTTTGACCCGAGGGAAATTGTCCAGTCCAGCCCAGTTTTGATCTGCAAGTGTGATGGTTCAGTTTTGACCTGGAAAGGTGTGCACACCTCACCTCACTTCAGTTTTGATATCTTCTTTTTGTTTCTTGTCTTGTATATCTTCAAGCTAGTACTGTACTCTCGCGATTGCACCATTATGTATGGCAGTAACTACCGGGCACATGCTCTTTCTTGAGGCTGATATTTGCTGGTTGACAAAGCAGCTGAGCTGCAATTGCCTTATTCCACAGCATACAGTAATAGCACAGATCATTCTCCCTCTCCATCTTCACACTCACTTAAAATGTTAACTCAGCCGCTCTCAAGAGTTATGGTAACTCAGCCTCACTCAGAGTTGACTCAGCCTCACTCAGAGTTGCCAGCCTCACTCAGAGTTGACTCAGCCTCACTCAGAGTTGACTCAGCCTCACTCAGAGTTGACTCAGACCTCTCTCAGCCCGACATGCTCCCTCATAATATACCCAGCCTTACATTCTCTCACTCTCAGCCGTTCATCCTCACTCATAGAGGCGACTCAGCAGCAAGTCTACCGTCAATGTCAGAAATGAGCCATCCATCCTGCCTTACATCGTCTGCTCCCTTCCCATCCCATGCCTTTCGCACAGTAAGATGTGCAATGATTCCTTTCAATGCGCAAAACTTCAGCATATGGGGTGTGAAAGATGAGGAAGCAGGAGGCCGGACAGACCATGGCTGCTGCAGCTCAATACACGACGAATAAAAATATCACCTTGCTCATAGTACTTCATCCATTCTTCTCTTTCCAATCTGGCGATACGCTCCTGCCTGTCATACCAGCGACTACGGCGTGATTGTGAAGTCGGACCGCTCATTTTTATGCTTCAATCCTTTCAACCTTGCTCGTACTTACGATCTGCTTATACTTACGGTCTGCTGTCGGCTCCTCTTCCCTCCTATCATACAAACGACAGCTCAGAGAACGCGAAATCGGGATACTCTCGGCTACTCACAAATCGGCGTGTTAACCCGCAGCGAGCTAGCGCGGATCACGCCGCGCGTGCCGGCTCCATCATCGTCGGCGAGGAGACTAAGGTGCTGCGGTAATTCGTCAGGAAGGAGTGCACGAATGATAAGCACAAGTACATCGAAGCTGCAAGTAAACAATAATATCAGTCCACGGCGAAGAAGAGGATTGTTTGGCTGTTCAGTGAATGGCGTTGCTGGACTTCGCGCCACTAGGGTTTGTTATCTTAGCTGCAGTAATTGAGAAGAGTAGTTTTCGTCGCCAGCCAGAAACTTGTAGCTATAAAGTACAAGCCAAAGTTAAAACGCGAAGTCATCGAAAAACTATACTTGAATGCAGATTTACAAGTCCTAGCTGATGCGCTAAAGGCGTTGCTAGGAACACGCTCTAAGAAGGTTTAAAAGTAGTCAACCGCGAACTTGTACAAGTACGAACGCCAGCAGCTTCAGATCCTCAGCTCCTCGCCCTTCGGATGCTTGAAACGACTTGGAAGTTCTTCAGATCCGAACACCCCAGCGGAATTCGGTCGACGGACCCGAGTTGCCGGTGTCGTCGAGGGGGGTCGTCGAAGCCTGGGCCGACGGGGCGGAGCACTGACGCGCGTGCGGGCCCGCCAGCCTGGCCCAGGGCTGGGCCGAGCGCACGACCGCCGCCCCGCGGCCCCGCCCCGAACGTGAACAGCGGCCCACGTTACCGGGTGGGGTCGGCGAACTGGCGACAGCTCGCGCGTGGGAAAATTACCCTCGCGCGAAGGCAGCTCACGCGCGCCACCTGCCCGCGAGGTCCTAGTAACCCATCGCGGCCTGCCCGGACGGGCAGGCGAGGGCCGGGCGAAAAGTCGGGGCCCCCTCGGGACGCTCGACAACTTCGCGACCCGTTGCGGCGACGCCACGTGTTCGCCCGCCTGCTTCGCATCGGGCAACATGCAGAATTTGATACATTGCGAACTCAATTCGGGACATCGCGAATTCGATGTCGATCGCTTCGCGGCGCACGTTTTTCGCTTCGGGGCGTGACATCGACTTGCTGGCTCGGCGGCGAACGAGGACTTGTGCCACTTGTGGAGGACTTGTGCCAAACCCCGCCGAGGCAGGCACCACGAGGGCCGGGCGATGCCTCGACCGTTCCTGTGGGGCACCGACCCCCTTTTCTTGGTGGAAGGGGGCATAGCTCCTCATTTTCGGCATCTCGTTTCCCTTTCCACCTTTTCCCCAGCTCTGCGCCTTCTCCCACATTTCACGTCCCTTAGCCGCTTCCCTTCCCCGCCATGTCGGCCGCCACGAAACTCGGCGAAGTGACACCGACTTCGCAGGACTTCCCTCTGTATCTCGACCTGGGCAGTGGACTGACTGCCAAGCTCGACGAACACGACTACGCCGTCCTCGTAGACCATAGGCTAGAGTTCAACGCCCGTTGCTTGGGATTCGGCCTCAAGTGAGTGTCCGTATTGGGATGTCGACGTCGACCGCTGGATACCTTGCAGGTCGACGTCGATAGGGTTGTCCCACGTTAGGGTTTAGATCACTACTCGGTGACGCACGCAGCCGTAGGTAGGCATCGTACTCCGATCACTACAGTAGGTCGGTGCCCGCATCGGTAGGCGCCATTGATTACAACGTAGCGACGGTGGTGCACCGTTCTACTCTAGCCATCCCCGTCAGTTGTCGGTTCCAGAACCCACGTGTCCATCCGTCGTGCCGTGCACGTCCTCAAACACATCTACTACCCATGCATGCGTGCAGGTACGCATGGATTCGCGCGGCGCCGGCCAACATGCGATTGTGGTCGATAGGACTCGGCCGGCTTCGGGCGGCGATGGGCAAGGAAGACCACTCATGCTTTGCAACGGTGTTCGACGCCGACGTAGCTGTTATCCCTCTGCATTCGAGGTGAGCCTAAGTCATGATGGTGTGCCTTGATGCCTTATGTCGCTGCTCCGTTCTGATCGACGTCGTGGTGCCTAGCCTGTGCAGCATCGCACCGCTTCCAGGGGCACATTGCAGCGTCGTGGTCATCCTGTACCCCGGCGACTTGTTGCGGGCCGGGGGAGAGACGATCAGGACCTCTGTCCGGCACTTCGACCCGCAAACCGTGAAGCAGTGGCACCGCGACGAGGCGATCCGCGTGCTGAAGTGAGCTCGATAGTGTAGTCGACGACGCATGCAATTTCGCCGCTGGGCGTTAAGCAAGTCTACTGACGATATGTGCCATGTTGCTTCAGGTTTTTCCGGGCGGCGGTGCTGGCCGAGCTCGGCCGCGATGGCCGGCACTGGGAGTGGCCGAAGCCTTCTGCTGAAGAGGTGGCGGCCAGGCTCGCCGACTTCAATGAACCCGTTCGAGATGTGAGTACCGATCGTTTTACCGTCCTAGCGCGATGCCATCGCCGCCGTCGGTGCTCATCCTTGCTCTCTCCTCTGTTGTTTGCAGAAAATGCGCGACACCGTCCGGGACGGCGACGCAGGCTCTGGCCTCCTCTCAATGAGCGCGCTGTGCTGGGTGGTGAAGAGGATGGATCGCCTGACCGGCGACGACCGTCGCAGTGCGACCAGCATGGACAAGGTCCTCGTTTCGGGGTTGAAGGAGCTGCGGATTCGGATGATGACATACATCAAGGAACACGTCGCACGCAGACGGTCAGGCCATGTCGGAGTTGGTGCCGATGCCTGTGAAGACGACGCCGCGGAGCCCCCTTCGGCATCCCAAGCAGTCGGTGTCGCCGACACCAGCGGAGAGGCCGGAGACGGCGTCGACAAGGCAGATGAGGAGGCAGAAAGGGCTGTGGCGAGGACCGCGGATCAGGAAAAGGAGGAGGAGGAGGATGACACCGACGATCAGGATGATAACGAGGAGGATCGTGAGGAGCGTGAGCAGGGGCATGGGCAGGAGGAGGAGGAGGAGGAGGAGGAGGAGGAGGAGGAGGAGGAGGAGGAGGACGAGGAGGAGGAGGAGGAGGATGATGAGGAGGAGGACAAGGAGGCGGCGGCGGCGGAGGCCGTGGAGCAGGGTTTCGGGTCGGTGGAGCAGGTGGCGGAGGGGGAGAAGCAGCAAGAGGGGGAGGAGGAGGTAGAGTTCCCCTGGGTCGAATTCGAGATGGAGGATGTTGAGGGAGCGGCGGCGGTGGCCGTGGAGGGAGCGGCGGCGGCCGTGGAGGGAACGGGCGGGATGTCGGCGGATGTTGTGTACGTGCGAAGGGAGGGTGCCGATGTGGAGAATGTCGGCGTGGAGGAGGCGCACGTGGTCGGCAATGTGGTTGGCGACGCGAAGGAGGAGGATAACGTCGCGTCCCCGACGCCGACGGGCGTGGAGACCACCACAGGGAACGCAGGGGTGGAACGCCGGGGTGGAGCGGTAGAGGCGGGCCGTCAACCGGGTTCCTCAGCAGCTGGTCGGCAGGCAACGCCGGCCGTCGTCGCGCAGCTGCGACAGGAGAACATGTGGCTGAGGGCAGAAAATGCTCGTCTCGAGACGGCGCTCGGAGTGGAGAGGGGTCGGGTGGACAGGTTCGCGATGGGGATTGGCCACCTCGTGGACAAGCTCAGGTCGTTGGCCGACCAGGTCGCCGCCTCCGACCAGGACGCGTCGAGTCGGCTGATGGACGCGTCCTTGACCATGGCGACGACCGTGACGGAGAACATCACTGCCAACATGGGTGAAGCATGGGAGGCGATGAAGGCGTACGCCGAGAGGGCGGAGAGCTGGTTGGACGATCTAGAGAATCCGGAGGGGGTTATGGCGGTGCAACGTGCGAACGCGGTCGTCGCCCTGGGCAACCACGTGGACGAAGCGAGGAAGGGATTGGAGGAATACATATCGAAGCACCTAGTCGCCGCGCAGACCAACATCGCCGCCGCCGTAACTCAACGC